ATATATTGATGTACTATATTTAGATATTTAATGACATGTAATATGTTACAAACAGTATAATTTGTATTATGTATTGTATCAATTTCTATTATTTTGTATTTATATACATAATGTATAAATGTATATATTTATATACATCGTATATATTTATATTTATTTATATACAATATTTTTCCCCTTTGTATTAAAATAGAACACAGGATTCCCTGTCACGCCTGTGATACCCCTAACAGCCTGGAAAAGGCAGGTTTTCATTCAATCAGTACCCTTAAAACCACGAGTGAAGGGGGACTCCCCCCAGTTCAAACACAGACAATAATGGAAGAGGAGCTGCTTCCCTTTTTTTAATTTCTTTTGTCATCATAATCTTTTTTTTTCTTTTTTTCTTTTTTTTTTTTTTTCTGGGGGCACAGGGAGGGATTGGCAAGATGAAATTGAAAAGGGAAAGGAGAAAAGTCCCAGCTACAAATCCACGCAAGCTCACCCGTTCGGCTGCTGCTTCCCGGCACGAAGCTTTGTCCCTGGGCATGTCCTTTAAGCAATGCTCACCGTATCCAAGTGCGTATGCAGGTGTTCCCCCAGACCCTGCAGAAGCTCTCACCGTCCTTCCATGAGATAGCCCCGGGAGCCCCCCATAAACCCCTCTGCTCAGCAACTCCATGCAAAAGTGAGCAGAAGCACCCAGCATGACCCCCAGGGTACGGAGGGACGTCGGGCTGGGGAGGAAAGAGTGAGGGGAAGAGAAATACCGGGAGGGGGGGAAGAGGGACCGTGGAGAGAGGAGGGAGAGAGGGGGAATAGAAGGGAGTAGCGGGTCAGTGACAGGACAGGAAGGAGCCGGGTTTGGGAAGGAGAGGGAAATGGGGGAAAGGGAGCAAAAGAAGGCGAATACGGGGAGGAGGGAGCAGGGGTAGAGAGAGGGACAGGAGAGGAAGCCTCACAGAGCCGCGGCTCCACCCCGAGCCCGCCCCGCCCTGCCCGGGATGCTGCGCTCGGCGGAGCTCGGCTCGGCTAGACTCGGCTGTTATCGCCTGCATTCGGCTAGATTCGCCTCTTCGGCGCAGCTCGGCTCAATTCGAATAACTCGGAGCTGCTCGGTCCGTTCGGCTCCGCTCGGCTCGGCTCGGCGGAACTCGGAGCCGCCTCACGTTCAAGGCGCAGCGCTCGCTGCTCTCCCGCTGCCGAGGGCGGCCCGACCGTCGCATGGAAAAAGCAGCTTCTATATTGAACCCTTTGTATCCCACAAGGAGAAAATTTCTCTACCTCTGTTTTCTCATTTTTCTTCTTCGATTTCAAAATCAGAGTTACAAAAACCTACTCAAGTGCAAGTAAAAGATTTACTAAGTAGTCAAAGTAGTCTAGTAAATTTCATAACCTAAAGAAAAAGTTATACTTCTGTTTCCACAAAAAATAAACCACACGAGATTCCTACTCACTGTGTCAAACTTTATTTAAAACACACAAAAAAACCCTCAAGATAAATAGTTCCACAACCAAAACAAAATGTGTAAGTAACACTAACTAAAACCACACATCCAAATACAGCATTTATCGCATTTTCTATATACGTTATTAGTATACCTCTTCACAACTAACCTTATCCCTCACAAACTTTAAATTGTAAATCAAAAAATCCTATACATAACATAAACTCTTAGAATAACATTTATACACTCTTACCCCAAATTACAGTTAAACCACAAAACTTAAAATAATTAAAATTATTATAAATAAATACTTGTAAAATATTTAGTTACCAAAAAAAACCCACACAAACCCACAAGAAGTTACCTCAGAATATCAAGCCTACAATTTAAAACAACCCTAAGACCCAACATAACAATACATAAAAAAACCACAATCACTCAAACAAAATTTACTTCTCAATATCAAAATAGTATAACCTTTTAAAAACCTAATTCTATTCTTTATAAATCTATTGTAAGACATAAAATAACAACTCATATGTTAACTACATTAAATAAACTTAGTTATTAACTAACCAAACAAAACAATAATACATCTATAACTTTAAATAAGTTACTACTAAATATAAATTACGTTAAACATACTACTTTACAAAATAAAACTATTTTTTCTATTAACACACAATCATAAATACCAAAATTAGAAAAAATACATTATATTAATTTTTCAAATCAATAAATCAATTTACAAAACCATTAAAACTTTTTTAAAAAAATCAATTACACATAAAAAAACTAAATAATATTTTTAAGAATTAAAACATTACCAAATAACTTAAATCATTAGTAAAAAATAAAATATTCATTTTATTAATAATTATAATTATTACTTTATATCTCCCCTACCTACTTTAATTTTTTCAAGAACCCCTACAAAAATCCTTAACAAGTATATTTATAATTCAAATTTTAAAAAAACTCCAAAAAAACCATTAACATAAAGACCAATAAAATAAACACATTAAAAATGCTTACAATTAAAAATTATATACCTTAATAAACAATATTCATACCTTAATGATTTATTATAAACACTTTCCAATTAATTATTAACATTAATTACTTTATACCAATAAAATACAAGAAACTGTTACTTTATCCAATAAATATAATAAACTATTTTAATATAACTAATAACTTTAAATCACACTTTATCAAAAATATAAAACTTAAAAACAACTTAAAAATCCCATTATTATCACTACACAGATAGATATATATATATATATATATATGCATCTCATATATGCATCTCAACAATATCGGGGTCGGGCAGGAGCTCATTAGGCAGTGACTGCACTCTTGCTAATTAATGGTCACGAGAGCAGGAGGCTGGGTTCGGCTGAGCTCGGCTGGATTCGGCTCACAGATTTCCTGCTGGAAACAAGGCAGATTCCCACTTTTGGCAGGGGGTGCCTGGGTGTGAATGGTGCCTTTTCCCACAGGTGTGAAAGATTTCCACCCTCGTGTCTTGGAGCCAGCTCAGAGGAGGCCCCTGGGAGTCAAAGGCCAGCCCTAGTTTCCTGGCAGCAGAGAAAACCTGTGATGTTTGCAAATTTAGGAGACAGAATGTCACTTTTGGCCACAGGCACCCAGATGCCAACGACGTCTCTTTTTAGAAGGAAGCAAGGCTTACCACCCCCATGGCTTGGAGGCAGGTTGGAGGAGGCCCCTGGTAGCCCAAGGCCACCCAGAGCCATGGTTACTGGCAACTTCTGTCTGGGAGAAATCCCTCAATGTTCAGAGTTTAAGGAACGTGGCAGCCCACGTTCCCACGGGTGCCCCTGGCTTGGCAAGAAGCCTGGCACATCCTAGTCCAGGCCACTGGATTCATTTGCCACCTTCTACTGCAATAATCCTGCCATGAAAACTGTTAAATCACAGACTACAGAATGAGGGACTCTTCCTGAAACGGAAATAAATTCCGGCTCCAGAAAAGCTCACGCACACATTTACAAACACTTCAGCAAAGCAAACCCTTGGAAAAAGCAAAGGTGGTTTGTGGTCACCTGGGTCTTCCAGGCTCTATCAGCCAAAGGGGAGAGGAGTCTAATGATAGGAACAGGAGGACAGAGAACAGTCAAGAGAGAAATGGGCTGAGGGACAGGGAGGAAAGAAATGAAAACACTGGGGCAGGGACCTAGAATGAGAGCATCCAAGAAAGAAAAAGTGTACTTAGAATATGGGGCACAGAGAGAGAGCGGGGAAATAAAAATTGGGTGGACATCACAAAGGCCTAGAGGGTATATGGGGAGAATTTTAAAAAATTGGAAGACAGATAAATGGAAAAAGACAAAATATCAATGGACTGAGATAGAGGATGAAGACGAGAGAGATAGAGAAGAGGATGGAAGTGCAGAAAGAATAAGAAAATAGAGAGGTAGAATGTGAGAGAAAGACACAAACGTAGAGAACAGGAGAGGGAGACGTGCAGGAAGGGAGAAAAAATTACATCAGCAGGAGAAGGGTGATAGGGATGGGATGCAGAAGAGGGGCAACATGGACTAATAGATCCAGGACTCATCGCAGCTCCCACTTACAGCTGCTGGGGGAATTTGACAGTTCAGATGTCTGTCTCTCCCTCTCCATCCCTTACTCTGTACTTCCAGTGACTCAGCTGTCAGCCACTTAAGACATTAAAGTCTTACAACTTTAAGAGTATGAGGCTTCACAAATACACAGCTTCACATGTGCAGACACTACATGGTCACACATACAGGGCCTGCAGTGCCGGCGATCTGCTTAGGACTATGCTTAGAGAAATTCTTCCTCACTCGGAGAGACAGATAAGATCCCAACACTCCTCCCCGGCAAGAATGACACGGTTTTCCCCTGAAATTTGCGGGGTCACTTCTCAGACTTTGTCCCTCATCCACCCCGCCCACCCCCTTCCGCCTTCCCGGTCAAACGGGCACTCCTCGCAACGCAGCGCTGCCGGAGCTCATCTCAACTGCAGCGACCGACGGCCTCGGGCGGGGGCGGGGGGGGACGACGCCACACGCACCGGGAAGACTGAGGACCTCATTCGCCGCCCGGCACGTGGCTGGGACGGCGCGATAAGACGGGGCAGGAACCTACACCCGACTCCCGTCGAGCCGAGCCCCGGGAAAGCGGCGGAGCCGGACTGGGCCCGCGCCCCGCCCGCCGCGCGCCCGGCCTGCGGCAGCGCGCCCCGCCCCCGTCGCTAGGGAAGTGAGGTCACGCAGTATGGTGGCTGGGGGCCGGCGGGGCTGAGGCGCCGGTCGTGTCGGGAATCCGTGTCCATCTTGCTCGGGAGCTGCGGCGACGGTCTTGACTGTCTCGCTAGTATCGAGCGGCGAGACCAAAGCCGCGATGGCATCCGAAACCGCAGGACTGTGAGGCATCAGAACGAGAGTCAGCAGGCCGGGCAGAGCAACAGAACCGGGTCGCGGACGAGCCGAGCTGCCGTCATGGAGCTGAGGGTTGGGAACCGGTACCGGTTAGGCCGGAAGATCGGGAGCGGCTCCTTCGGGGATATCTACCTGGGTAAGGAGGATGGCTCGCTGGGGATTTAGGTGGCCGTTTTCTGGCTGTGTGGAGAACATCGAGGGCCTAGCCGGGTCGGGCAAGTTCCTGGGCTAGGGACACAACAGCAGTAATTTAATATTTCGTTGACATCATGCCCTAATTTGGATAGTGCGGAAATCGGGAATTCTGGTTTACTCGGCTGCCTCTTCTCATTGTTGTCTAGTGACCTTGGGCACCGTTCGAGTCTGTAAAATGGGCATAAGGGTAAAAATCGCCTCATCTGAAAACAAAGAAGAAAAAAACCCAAAATCACATAAACCCTAAAAACCCCGCAACCCACAGCATTCAGAAAAACGTCTCGGGAAAGAAACGTACCAGGGTTGAATGTCGCTGCAGTGGACTAGGAAAAATTGTTGTCAGAAGGATGTTTCTTTCTCCTGTGAGGCCTAAAAAAAAAAAATTACACAAATACAAGTGATTAGGTTTACCTTTAAATCCTTCAAACAGCCCTCGTAGTTTGGCTAGTCCTGTTGCTGACCATTGACTAATCGTGATCGCTGTACAATTGTAAAACATACAGAATTGGAATTGTCTTTGCCAGTCCATTATTATATGCAGCTCTCTGAGATAGTCTACTGCTGTTGTTTATGACAAGCACACGTAGTGGGTGCAATAAATTTTGAAAGCAGTTATTTTTAAAATACTCACATATTTGGCAAACTCTCAAGCCACATGAAGTGGGTTAAAGCCAAAGAAATATGAGCATTATGTCCCGTCCGGTAGACACAAGTACTCTGCTTTTGAAAATTGTGTTAACTAGAAAAGCAAATCAGGAAAGGAGGGGAAGGTAGAACTTGCAGGGGTAAAGGTTCATTGACTGCATATTTGCGGAAGACAAAAATAATGTCACTTGCTAGATTGTGTGGTACGTTTACAGTGCATGCAGTATGAGAGGTGAGGGTTGTTTTTCTATACATCTTGCAGTGCACAGCTGGCGTTCCAAAATAATTCGTTACCTAAAGCTGCTTGTTTATAGATAATGAAATACTGTTATCCATAAGACAGATCATATGCCTGATGAAAAATAACACATTTTTAACTGAAGATATGTGATGGTCTAGAGTCAGAGAATGTGATTCTTCCTTTCTGCAATACATGTATAGAGGATTGGAGATGTGACCATAGAAGATTGTGGTAGAGCCTGTGCAAAAAATCCTAGTTAGCTTCCACTGCAATTTTGGGGAGCAATTAAGACAGCAGTTAGAATGTGAAAAGTCTTAGGTGATTTGAAAAATTTAAACTTGACTACTGCTCAGATAAATCAGATTGTATTACTTTATTAATATCAAGTGCAAGTGAAAGAAACATTTATGTGTCACTTTTATCTCTACGAATGCAGCTTCCAACAGTGAAGTTGTACAGAAAGTAATAGTTCCCTGTATGCTAGTGTATATATTAATGCCGTACTGAATTTTGTGCAATAAATCCTCTGGGTTTTACTTTTTTTTTTTATTTCTAAGTAATTGTCATGGATTTACTCTTGGGGCTTACTGCAAATGTCATTCTGTTTACATGGAGGCATGACTCAGGCATGGAACTAGCATGGAAGTACATGAATGGAAGATCCAGCTGGTGGCATTTGTTTTTCCAGGGGACATTACTGTCTCTGAAGAACTGAAGTCTTTTGTAGAGTCCCATTTGCTTTGCCTACCATTGTCTGGTAGAACAGAAGTTTGAAAACTGTGTTGTGATAACGAAATGTGGTTGGTTTTTTAAAAATTCCGGTTTCTCCTCCATTGTTCAGACTGTACAGTAGACATAAGTGTCTTAAAATAATTTCTAAAGTTATTTTGGAAGTCAATATTTATTTTTAAGTAGACGTGCTTTCCAACAGGCCTCAGTGACTTTGTAGATTATTTCAGCGTACATTCCCAGCTCAGTTTTGTGCTTTGAAAATTAAAATTTGACTATTTTTGCCTATTTCCAGTCCCCAGGTTTTGTCTTAAATGCAGCTACAAGGGTGTTGAAGACATGTCAGAGTAGAGGGGAACCTCTAGTTAGGCTTTTGAAAGTGGGGATCGGATTGAACCATAGGTGATGTACTTCACATGATACTGAACCATGAGGTAAAGCAGAAAAGGGCCAAATTCCTAAAGCAGAGAGACTTGGAGATAATGCCTGTGAGGTGTCACACTTTTCCTTTTGCTATTTCCTTTTCTCCTGTAGTTTGTAAGTTGCTTGGCTGTGAGAGTGTGTATTTTCTTGATTGTTTCTATTTAAGAATGTCAGTTTCTCCCTACATACTTTGGAAGTGAACAGGTAAGCGGTTTTTTGATTCTTAAAACAAGAATTTAATGAGATTTAAAGAAAGCTTTTGCAGACTGCACATTCTTTAGTCTACATGATCTGCCTCCAGCCAAGTAAAATGAGGTGTCACACTACAGCTGGACTATGTTAAGATCTAGGGAAGTCATAGTCTCTATTTCCAAGACATAAGAGGAGGTGATTTGAATTCTTGGTACTTCTGTTTGCAGGTCTGTTTGCCACATTTGTAAACATTAATTCCGAGCATTTTTACCACAAACTGGAAGTGGAAAGACATCCCCCTTGGTTTAGTTTTGTTGTTTTTCTGGGGTTTTTTGGTTGGTTGGTTGGTTGGGTTTTTTTATGGGGATAGCAGCAATTTTGGCTTCTTGTTATGCAGTTGTCTCTTGTAATCCTAGTCTGTTGGAGAGTAGAGTTTCAGACGAATTTTTAGATAATCGTGGCTGAAAGTACTTTATCTCTGGATGTTTGCCATTTGGAAGTAGTTTGTTGATGCTCATTTTTATTTTGGTCTTGGCAAAGGAAATGCATCTTAAAAATATTTTGACCAGTGTTTTAATTCTTCTGGTTTTAGGAACTGATATTGCTGCTGGAGAAGAGGTTGCAATAAAGTTGGAATGTGTGAAAACCAAACATCCTCAGCTCCACATCGAGAGTAAAATCTACAAAATGATGCAGGGTGGAGGCAAGCAAACTATTTTCCTTCTTCAAAGATTTTAATGCTTTTGCACCTTTGATCTGTCTGCCACCTGAAAGTTAATGTTTGGGATCTGTTTTGGGAACTAAGGAGAAGGTGGGAAAGGCATGAGGGTAGATGAAGAGAAGCATTTCAGTTCAGCAAGGGTTGTAGAGGAGCAGTTCCAAATCCATGGCTATCATGCTTCATGATAACCAGTAAGATTCTCCAAAGTTTCTCATGGTTCCTGAAGTATTAAAATGGAAGGATCTTGTGCAATGTGAAACAAAGCTTGGTCCCAGAACAGTGATTTATTTCTGATTCTCATGGATCACTGAAAGATGGTAACTACTACTTTGGACCATTTAACCTTTGGACCATTTAACCTTGACTTGCTTATTATGGTAGCACAATTCTAAAGTTTTAAACATCAGGTTAATTTTTGTTGTGCATGTTAGTATTCTTTTTTCTGTGTTAAAAATATTTCTTTGCTGGGAGAGTTCAAAGACAAAATGGCATTAGTAGCGGAGAATAGGAATGCAGCAACTTTGTAGCTACTGTGTATTGCTTTGCTACAGTAACTTATATATTTTGGAATTCCAGAAACCTAACATTCCTGTGCAGTTCTGGGACTTAAACCTGGTGTAGTACAGTTTTGTGGTTGTTTCATAGTCCCTTGAATTCTTCCTAAATGCGGATATGGTTTGCATAAAGAGTGCATTCCATGCTGTATCTCAAGTACGTGCCAAGTAGGATAATAAGACCTCCAAAAATTTTATAATAATGTGTATTTGCATTTAGTTATTTTTTAATTCCCACCTCATTCAGTTGCCACCTGTGTGTAATTGAAATAGCCTTCATAGAACAACTCATGCTTCCTGTAAATGCAGTGAATTATGGCATTTCACACCAAAATGCATAGAATTAACTCCGAGTAAGGCATTTGAAAATCTGAATAAGGCTATCTACGTGCAGCTTTATTTCAAAATATTTGAGTGTTTCTACATTTTTATATGAAATAAGGTTCCTCCATAAAGGTTCCTGACTTCCTCCATAAATTTGGGCTAATTATCATACTGTAAAACTGAATGAATAATGCATCTCATAAACAATGCTACTTTGGTAGAGATGCACCAAACAGTAAATAACATGGAACTGAAGGAAAGACACGAATATGAAGGAAGGGCAAAAATTCATTGCAAATTTTGATGAAGGAGACAGATATTTCGTGGTGATTTTGTAGGCTTTGAAGCTGAGTTAATTTCTAAGGCCTTCTTCAGTTATAGTATCTAGTGGTTTGTCAGGGTTTTATTTTCAGACTGCTGATTTGTGCCTTATTGCATCTTGGAGACTACATGAATATTAATATTGGTAAAATGCTTAGGGTTCAAATCCAGCAAAGGTGCTCAATACTTTAAAGTTACAAGATAAGTATGAAGACTAGAAGGTTTCTGGGGAAAAGAAAAAAGGCTATTTTTAGACCTCTGTTGCTATAATTTTGTATTGATTCTGCTGGAAATTATCACACATTTCATTTTGGACTGTCTGAACATAAAACATTAAGCTTCAGTGTAAATAGAAACATTCATGGTAAAGACACTCAGAAATAATTTTAAGAGCATTGAAGATTTGTGTGTATGAATTATAAAAATCAAATTGTTATACAGAATAAATGATTTATTTTTTCCTAGTGGGTATTCCCACAATTAAGTGGTGTGGAGCTGAAGGGGACTACAACGTTATGGTGATGGAGTTGTTGGGACCGAGTCTTGAAGATCTCTTCAATTTTTGTTCAAGGAAATTTAGTCTCAAGACAGTCCTATTACTTGCTGACCAAATGGTAGGAAATGGCTTTGTTATCTTGATAGTGAAATATGTTGGGATACTGAATTTTTTTGATCATACACGTTTTATTTCTAAAATTTAGAGCTGAATCGGCTGTTTTAATAGAGAAAAAATTCAAAAGTAGCTCTGTTTTTGTAAATCCAAACTATCCCATCAAAAGTGATTGCCAGTTCTTTAAAAACTGGATCTGCACTGTTTGCAAACTAGGTGTTGCACTGCTCAAAGACTTAAGAAATTTCCCCAAGAAAGTTTTTGGAATCAGATTGTCCTGATTTTGTGAAACAGACACAGGCAAAGAGCTGGAAAGAAGGTTTTTCTGTTGTCTTCTAAATTATGTTCTCTTTAATGCCCTTATGTTTTACAATAAAAAGGGGGGTTGCATCTTTCATTATTTAGACACAATTGCTAGTGATTTTGTCAGAAAAAGATGTGTGCTTAGTCTCTCTACAATGATTTTTTTTTTTTGTGGTTCTGTATTTAGATTAGTCGAATTGAGTATATTCACTCTAAGAACTTCATCCACCGAGATGTGAAGCCAGATAACTTCTTAATGGGCCTGGGGAAGAAAGGCAATCTTGTCTACATAATAGACTTTGGACTAGCAAAGAAGTATCGAGATGCTCGAACTCACCAACATATTCCATATCGTGAAAATAAAAACTTAACGGGAACTGCCCGTTACGCATCCATCAACACTCATCTTGGAATTGGTGAGCTGGGGAAAGCAATAGATACAAACTTCAAGAGTGTCGATGCATGTAATTTTAGTGCAAGTGGATGTTGCTTTGTGGAGGCATAGGAGACAGTCCCTGTTTTTGACACTAAGAGTACAGCATGCGTGGCCTTGCATATCGTGATTAGGTGGGATTCAGTCTGTATTAGGTATCTGTTCATTCTGAGTTTGTAATGCTCAGGAATTAGCACATTTTAAATAACTGCAAGGATAATAGGCTTTTCTTTTATTGAATGAGTTTATCATGGGCATAGTAGCTCTCAGGTGTCTCTGGTTTTTGTAAGGGTTTTTATAACAGTCTTGTTACACAGACTTTTGTTTTGCCAGTAGAAAATGAAACCTAATGAGTTCACTTTTTTATGCTGTTGTAGAGCAATCTCGCAGAGATGACTTGGAGTCCTTGGGCTATGTACTGATGTATTTTAACCTGGGCTCCCTCCCCTGGCAGGGACTGAAAGCAGCAACAAAGAGGCAGAAATACGAACGTATCAGTGAAAAGAAAATGTCTACACCCATTGAGGTTTTGTGTAAAGGATATCCTTGTAAGTTACTCTTGCGGGACACTAGGCCTGTGTGTTCATGTATTCATGTTTTAGTGGTACATCTCCTTTCCTTATGTTAAATTCTACTACTCTTTTTCATCATCTGTCTCTCTCCTTTTCCTCTTCCCCTTCCTTACCCTGCCATAATTTTACCACATGTGTGGTAAAAATACTATGCTGAAGACAGATCTTTTGCATTCACAGAGCATTTCTAGGGATCCTTTGTCTCAACTGTTGAAGTGCCCTCAAGAGGAAGGGTAGCATGGTACCCTGATTTTCGCTGTATTTTTTGTGCACCTGTTGGCTGGATAATTACAACAGACAAATAGCATTTTAACAAATTCCCTCTTTATCTGTGTGGGTCCTGTTTCTTGGATGAATTAGATTGTGTAGTCTGACGCACCTCTTATCTACTGCAGTTGTTTCGCTTGGGAATTATCATCCCAGGTTCATCTGGTTTCACTTGCTGATGGATTAGAATTTGTGAGAGGCATAATAAACTCTTCTGTATCCTAGCATCATGCCTCAGAGCAGTTGTGTTTCTCAGTTTGTTATTTACACCAAAACAATAATAAGCCATTTTTGAGTATTGTAAAATGATACTTAAATTAGTTTTAAAACGTAGTAACACTAGCTGTCATTAGAGACTGTTTTCATTTCACAGAGAGTTCTGTCTCTTCACCCTCTTGGCTTTGTCAACTAGTTACAATGACAAGAACTATAGTTTTTGTTTGGGTTGTATGAAAATTCATAATTTTTATGTGTTTCAAATGTTGCTCCATACATGTTCATTTTTATTCATGAATTACATGTTTTCTCTGGGGTTTACAGGCAGGGAAGACTAATCAGCTTCTCTTGTGCCATTTGTTAGAATTTCTTTCTTAATATAATTTATTATCGTGTTTCATTTGGGAAGATCTAAAGTCAAAAGCAAGTATTTTGATACTGCTGATTTTCTCTGGTGCACTGAATTCACTACAGTATTAATTTTTTTTTTTTGCTTTGTAATATTTTGCTTGCCATTTAAAAACAAGTTTCAGACTATTGCATATTAAAAATGTTGCGTGACTTACCTGGGAGATAAAGGTTTTGTGTGTTTCGTGACACAGCAGACATTAATCTCTATGTGCCTTAGCAAAGAAATGCTGTTCCATGTCCCACAATAAATTGTGTTCAGCATATTCCAAGCAAAGTGTTAAACCTTTTCTCCCCCACCAGCTGTTGGTTAAAGAACTGTGCTATTGGGTCCTCTGTGCTATCGACAAATGAGATCTTTGCCTTCTCTGTGATAGAAAAAAATAATTTATTTTTCAGGGTTGACATGATAGTGTTTCCTTTAGTGGATTTTTAGTATTAGATCACTGTTCTTTTTCTTATGTTAAGAAGATTTCCTGCTTTTCAGGTTCGGGGTGGTTTGGGTATTTTTGACTCAGAATTACAAAAAGCCAATGTGAAGCTGAAGATAAAAAACAGGCTTCCTTTAATTACAGCTGAATTTGCCACATACTTGAATTTCTGCCGTTCTTTGCGTTTTGATGACAAGCCGGACTATTCCTATCTAAGGCAATTATTCAGAAACCTTTTTCATCGGCAAGGATTCTCCTATGACTATGTATTTGACTGGAACATGCTGAAATTTGTGAGTAGCTCACACAGCTTTCTAAAACTTTAAATTTTTAATGGTTTTGGTTGGGTTTTGTTACTGCAT